GAGCCGCTGGCATTCGTCTGTTAATGTCCGTAAATTGATGTTAAGATATTGTTCGATGCGATTTAGTAAACGAGTGCGGATTTCTGCGTCGCGGGGAGACTGCAGTGCGCACACAGATATCAGGCATTTGAATTGGTCATCAGTCATGAAACGCAACTTGAATTTCTCGCACTCCCGGTTCACAATGCTGGCTGGTGTCAGATAGTCATCTGTATCATTTTTCGCCAATTTGAGGCAGTGATACCGGATACTGAACAAAGACACCTATTCACCAAACGTGTTTGAAAGTTGTTGGACCGTTTCTTCGAAAGTGAAATCACGTGGACTTTTGGACAGAATCATGTCGGTGTAACGATCATGTTCTTTGGTTCCCAGCTTTCGGAGCAGTAGTCGCACCTTCCATCCATCATCAGCATCTGCGAATTCAAAACGTAATATACATCTTCCCAACGTTTGAACCAGGAATCGAATGTAGTTCCTGCATCGGGGTCGTACAGGAATTCGGTGATGCTTGCGGCAACGGTGTCCATAGATGTAGACTGTTTAACCGGTTTTGCTGGATTGGGATGTGTGCTGAGACGTTGTAACATGGTCTCCATCATCCTTAGGTTCGCGGCCTCGAATTGTGCCTGTTGCTGTTTGAGAATTGCTTGTAACTGCTCCGGCGTGATCGACATTGTGGATCCGTAAATTTTCCCGTCGCCAGTTGTTGTATTCGGTATAGGCGTGCGAATGACACGAGCGACTCTTGCTTAACTCCCAACGACGACGCGGAGAACACAGGTTGAGACAGTCAGTGTGTATTCCTTGATAAGTTATCGATACACAAAACATATAGACTAATCGTACATTCGAGAACGGCGCAGTGACGCACCAATCAGATTGTCCTTGACATATCGATTGATCGATTGGACAAAACATTGGCTGACACGTTCTGTGATCCTTCAATCAGGTTCAGTCTGTCTGGAGCGTTGCGAGCGTGCGTGTGGCCTGACTCGGAGGCGTGCGTGATCGGACGGGTTGCTTAGGCTCCGTCCTAAGAAAGCAACTCTGGCTTTCGCTATTCTTTCCCAATACCACCTTCAGCTGCGATCAAGCTCACGAGGTATTCAAAGCTCTCAATTAGTTCCAGGTGATCACCACACAGGGTGAGTGAATGCACAGACTGTTCGGTCTTGTAAAAGCACTTTGCACACCATATTTAGATGCAAATATCGTCAAGCGATTTAAAGCACGTTGGATTGCCTGTATATTGTCATCTCACAAAGTGGTCATCGGTGAGAACTCTTCCCTGAGAGGAGTTCAACTCTGCCGTTTGTTAGACCGGATAAAGCATTCTGTAGAACATTCTCCATGGCGAAGTTCAAGAGGAATGGGAATATAGAACGGCCTTGCTGCACCACTTTGGTCCAGTTTCCAGCTGCAGTTTTTACAACAATTAANCACCTTTGTGCGCCGGTTTTGGTAGGTGTCTCTTGGAGCGGTACAAGGAAGATTGGAAAGTTGAAAGCAATGTCGAAGACACAAACGAGGGTAGTGAAAGCTGGTCGCATGCTCCAAACCGGCCTGAGGTATGGCGATACAGTTCTTTGGGGATCGACCTTCACTTCAGGCAATCCGTTTCTTAACAGTTTCATAGTGTGGTCCTATCGATGGAGTCGAAGGTCGCGCGAATGTCAAAAATAATTGGTCTGCGGGAAGCATGACAGTGCTCTGGCAACTGTCGAACAGTGATGATACGGCCGACGTATCCAGATGGCGTGAATTTCAGCTTGCTCCTCAAGCGTTTGTACAACCTACGAACAATGATCTTCGTCCCCTCCCGTATTCAAATTTCCTCCGTTTAGAAGCATGAATGACCGGCTGGTTCTCAGTTGAATAATCCCCAAACCTCTCCTTACGATGTACCTTTTACCAAGGGATTAGTCCCTCTCACTGGATATCAGTTCCTATGTAAAATGGCATAGGCGGTTTGCATTTAAGAAAACATCGCATTTTCCGGACATTAAGTAGAAAACGATCGAGTAATCGTCAATATCAGGAAAACTCAGAAAGTGAAGCTCTGGAATGCATCAAGGTTAACGCGTAGTAGTTGCACTGAACATTCGGTAAATATTTTCACCAGACCTTCACGAATTCCTTTGATTTTAGATTAACTACTATATTGAGTTTGCTTATAAGGCGTTTCGCTCAAAGATATTCGCGTCACCCGATTCGACCACAAAATGAAGTGTAAAAAAGTTCCACTTACCTGAACTACGGTAGGAATTCTACTGTGAGAACTTTCATCGTCAGAGTACCGACTTCTTTCGGCATTCTCCAAGACTTTTAGGTCCTCATCTGTTCCACCTTCCAGCTTGATAACGACCGAATCCATGAGCTTAATGAGATTCTCACTGTTATCCATCTGGACACTCTGATTCTCAAAGAATCCTTTCTCGTGAAGCTCCATAAACACAGCCAATCGGTGCTTCAAATTAGCCAGCACCGCTGCTTTTCTTTTGGGCATATAGTCCGGATGATATCGTAAGCGTAACCTGAGAAAGAATATATTTGAAGAAAGGCCTCAATGCGCAAGAATAAAAACTGCAATAAAGATTTCGCGTTCCTGGAATTTACATTTTCTGGCTACAAAAAGGTATTTGAATGTACACAAAGCATGAATATGAAAGAATAAGTAGCATCATACAAAAGTTAGTACTAATGTCGAACAACGGAGGTTTAGTGGGTTTTACTTTACCCGCACAAAAGCGTCAGATTGTTCACGTCGGTGTCCGACGACTGGTTAACCCAACATGAGAAAATCAAGCAAAAACTGAGGACATATGCTGCTATTCAAATTGAGCGAGTAAAATTACGTGGTGCAGAGTTGATTTTGATTGCATAGAGAGGACTTAGTTTTAAAAGTAAACCTTATTAAATGTCTGCACATCATCATGCAGAATACCCTGAAGGGGGGTACGTCCCACAGTAAGAGCATGTTGTGGGGATCAGCGATGTCGATTCTGAGATTGGCAGTGGCCAAACCAGTTTGCTCAACTGTTTACCACGGTATGACAATTATTTAAACCAAAGGACTCGGGGCGTTGTACTGAGTTGAGTAGCAGCGCCACTCACGTGGGTAGCCAGGTGTGACGCGAAACCACTATACAAAGGGCTGCGTGCGAAAGCAGATTGCACCGGATAACTGATCGACGTTGAACAGTTACCACATATGGGCATGGTTAGTAACGCAAAAAGTTATGGGTTGAAGACCAGAAAACAAAAAGCGTACCATTCTTCATTCTTATGCGCTTCGAAAAACTCCTCGATATGGCGCTTGGTGTAGCCCTCTTTGTATTCACGGTATTTGCAACAGGCTTCCTCTTCGGTGATCAGATCATCAAGCGGCTCCAAAAACCGTTTAAACGGTACCAGAGGTGGTCTGTACATTCCCTCTTCCTCTGATGGCAAGATACGGGTCTCGCGACGTTTTGGGGCAGAACTTTTATATTCATCTCCATATTCTTTCCTGGAACGTTTATACGGCGGTTCCATTGCCGGAGATCTTCCGCGATCAGTACCATTGCCTCTGACTTCTCCCAATCCGCGATGTTCTGCACGCCCGTAGCCCGCACCGAGGGCACCGCTTTTGTCGTCAAAAGGTTCTCGTTTATCTCCTGGTCTTCTTCGAGCATCATGGTCACTTCTTTCACGTCGGAATTTATCTCGACTTCTATGTCTATCTGACTCATCATCAGAGTCTGCCATTTTTAGCTGAAGTGAAGATAAGAGTATCAGTCATTAATGAATGTTTTCGTGAAGCGAAAAGTATTATCACTAAATAATTTGTAGAACGGATCGAACACTTGATTACTTTGCGGACATTATGATGAGTGGAAGTGATGGTATTTGCCATCCGCCATTGATTTGGTGTTGCTGTATTCACTATCGAACCAAACTAGCACTGTCTCTTATTCTCCTATTGTAAGATTTTATTGTGGATTTTACCACTAAGGGACCAGTCTACTGTTCTCAAATGAACCAGTGTACAACAATTGACACTTACATTTAATGGAACGCTCTTTTCGCAGAGAATGTTTCTATGCGGATTCTCGTTCTCCAGCAGCAGAACAACGGTGGGATAAATTCGTTGATTTTATTCTAATCAAATCCCAATACCGGAAAACTTATAGTTAAATTTAAACCTGCGATTTACCGGCAATTTATCGATTGCTGATAAAAAATCTCAAGTTTACGTTAAGCCCCGAAACTAGAGCTTTGCATATCACAAGAACACGGACAATCAATCGACCGGTTTCAACAGAAGTTGATTTGAATTTTTCGTTTGACTCTTAATAGGAGCCGCGATGAGGTCATCCGCGACACTCAATAGACAGCTACTGTTGAGTGACTTTCGCCAACTGGTATTAGATAAGTACACCCCTGATTTCAATTCGCATTCCAAGCTGGCAGTTCAAAACATGCTCAGCAAATCTTAACAGATTCGTCCTTAACCACCTCATTTGATTCCACATCTGTAAAACATTCGTTTTTCTATTTTCGCCTGGAACACCAAAAGGGGTCGCTGCGACGCTCATTCTTTTCGGTGGGGGGACCTAAACAGATTAAAAATACTCTACCATGGAAGGAGTGTGTATCTTGGAGGAAGATTATTTCCATAAGGTCCAACCCAATACCTGAACACAGCTTCACAAATGAATCCTGTCAACTTGTCTCTGCTACATCGTTGTATGCCGAACTATCTAAGCCCACAGTGTTGGTTCATATCACCAAGGTACCGAAACTGTGAAACGCGAGAACTACCAGCAGCTGACATCCGGGTGAAACGTAACTGGCGGGCAATAGTTCCAGTTTGTACAACTATTACTCATGCACTTTCGTGCACCGGTTTTGGTTTGTCATTTGATTGAAGCAGCAAGGGAAAGACAAAAAAGGTAGAGTCGAAGAGGAAATAGAAAATTCCAGTTGACTAAGTTACAAACAAACTGAGATTCACTGACGCCACTGTTTACGAAGCCCAACTATATCCCTCAGTCTCTAACTAATGATCCCGAGGTCCCTACTCAGGGAGCATAACGCGACCTGTATGACCGCAGTGGCACCCTATTTGGTGGCGTGCACAACACATGGCCAACCAATGTTATTCATTAAGGTCAATCACTTTCTCCAGTTGACTATCGCGGTTACGTAAAACTATGCGCTTAAGCTCTGCATTGCTGGTCGGGTTGCCCCACCAGATTCGTGCGGTGTTCGAACACCATTTTAATCCTATTTTCTTAATGACCAAGTTTCTGCGTAGTGTAGCAGAACTGGTCCAACTACCGCAGTATAGATTCGACTCTTAACGGACAGCTGGATGTCGAGATAGCGCCACAGATATCTCAAGTTAGCAAAGGCCAATCCAGTTTTCTGTATGCGACACCTCATCTATATCTACTGACAAAGTTGGATGGACTCGTAAGAGATCTTTAATCACTCACTTTTCAGCACCTTCGACCTCGTGATAATCGAGTTCTCTTTCGCAAGATAAAATCCGGTACATTACTCTAAGCGAGTGACAAACTAGGAGAATGCTACCGCCTTCCATTCGAAGTTTCGAATGGAGTTACTTGTTTTTGCGGTGTTATTGATAGCACTCGCAAGAATAACGAACGTAGTTTGGAAGAACATGCTGCCCATCGCAACTTTATGGAAGCCTCCAAGAAATGCTGCATGACGTTCAGCGACAACAAAAGCACTATTTTCGCTACTAGAACTCTTGAGCTAAAGAATTTCACAAGGAATGACTCAAACACCTGGAGCGATTCAGATCAAAAGAACAAATAGCGTGCTAACGTTCAGCGGATTTCATATTTTAATCTGAAAATTCACACCTTAGTGAACAATTGAACGACCATGCTGCTCAACGAAGTGAAGGAAGTGTTCGAAAATATGATAAGAGAATTGGAAAAGACCGTTTATGATCGACGGGTCGTCTGGTTAGACAATTCAGTTTCAGTTGATTCAACCATTATTATACATTTTCACACGGTGGTCCCACTGGGATAAAGGAATAGAATCGAGACTGGAATGTTGAAAGCATATTTTTTTCAGTTTTGACAAACATTAACCATGCACTTTCGTGCGCCGGTTTTGGTTGCCCATTTGGATAAAAGAGCGAAATGAAGATTGGAATGTCGAAGCAAATTCAAGCGGAAGATGGGGAATACATACAGAGTGGTGTTAGGAAAATAACGAGTGGATGCACGAGCGCCACTGTTTGCGACACCCAGCCATGTCACTCAGTGTAGCTAACCATCGGTGACCATCATCCCGAGGTCCCCAGCCAGGGAGCTTAACGGGGCCTGTGACCTAGTCTCCTGGTTAGGGTTTTCATACCCTCATGCCAGGTCTTAGCTTGACCACCCTTCGTCTTTTTCTAATCGCTACCAGCCTTGGCAAACGTTCGCCGTGGCAACCTATCTGGTGACATGCGTAGCACATGTCCCAACCAGCGTAATCTGTGGAGGTCGATCACTTCCTCTAGTGGACGACCGCGACTGCCTAAAACTACGCCTAACCTCAGCATTGCTAGTCCAGTTACCCCACCAGACACGTGCAATGCTAAGCAGACAGCGGTGTTCGAACACCGCCGATCTATTTTTAT